TAGATTTCAATGGTCAGCAATTCTTATGTTTTTTTTTACGAAGTCATGCTCTACTGAAGTGCATCCGTGTGAAAAATGTTGAGAGCGAGTCGTTCACTTCTGGCCCTTTAGTGTTAATTCGTTGTCGCTCAGCTGCAGCTTTGAAGGGCAGAACTGTATGGGTTGAATTTTGCTTATTATGACTTGTATTGAGTTATTATAATGTTTTTCAAGGGTGATGATGTAGAATTTATAAGTTTGGTTGAATAGTTTATTTGGATGTTATAACATCTGAATTTTAGGTGTTTTGAAAAGTCAAAAATTAGCATTATTTTACACTCCATCATTTCACAAAAATAAAAATGTGTTTTCTTTAAGGATTTTAACGTGATGCCCGTAGTTGAAATTGACGGTTCTTTAGTTTTGTATACCGGTGTGCAGCGCCTCGGAGAAGTTTATTTGAGGAACTGCCTTAGTTCGCCATCGAAACCGCAGTCGTTCACTGACTCATCGAAGGTTTCAGTATAATTCACTTTTTTTTTTCTTTCTGTGCACCTGTACGTTTGAAAAAGAGGAGATTGTTAAGAAAAAGGCGGATAGAATTAGTGTTATCTCAGTTTGAAAACTATAAGAAATTAATTTAGCTGGGCTCTCCGGATGCACACTGTTCGGAGCGACATGTACAAAGTATTAGTCACTGTACTTCTGCAGTTTTCGTACGGACTGCGCAGAACAATAATTTCGCTCTGGTAACTAACGAGTCGTTTTCGAAGAAATTGCATTTGAGTTTAAAATTTTAATGCTTTCAATGCTTCTTTATTACTTTAACTACTGTGACTCAAAATTAATATCTGTTTAGAAGAGCAATGATGGTTTGTACAGAATTTGTCGAGTTTTTCCAATTGCAATTTTGTCTTACGGTAAGTCAGATTATTTGGCGATTTGCAGTCATTTTTAATTGTTAAATTGAATGACTTTTTTTAAAACTATCATTTTTAGGTGAGGAAAATGGCTTTTATTTTTTAGTTAATGAGTGTCTCTATCGTGTTGCGTCAGTTCTGCCAAATGATAAATCAATGAAGTTTTTCACTTCATGGTATTTAAGTGACTACAACAGACTGGTATTGAATTATGGCGGCAACCGTACAGTAATGGAAGCCTCACTTCTTTTACAGTTTGTTTTCTTACAGTGCGGTATAACAATTGAGAACTTCCCATATTTTAAAGAGGTACAATTTATGATATTGATTTTGAAGAAAAAAATGAAAACTAAATTCCGAAAGTATTAATAAGTTCGTGAGTGTCTATCAAGCAGAGTAAAACTGATTTTAAGAATGATGTTTGTTTATCCGTATGCGTTGTGCGTTCATCTTTTTTTTTTTTTTTTGCTTTTTTCGTGGAGTAAGGTAGTAATTTCAAAAGATTATTTTTGCAGTTCTAATCTTACTTTTGTTGTTCTTGTAAAATGCTAATTTATGTCATCCTTTTCCAAAGATTTTGATTTTTAGGCTGATTGGTTAAGGCGTCACTGTGCTGAGGGTAGCAGTGAGAAAAAGAAGCAAAGGACGATTGCAGAACGTTCACTGGTAGATTTTTAAACTTTTGAAAAGCAAAGCAAACCTCCTAATTTAAAGTTTGCGTAATCAGGTATTAACTTTAATTGTTGGTTCAACATTTTTAGGCCTGGGAAAAAATGAAGGATCTTGACTCAGCGAGCATAAACAAAGAACATGTTCATTATATGGTTACGGTGTCGGAGGATGGCTTCTTGTATCCATACTCACTTTTAGTATTTGGGTCTTTGCATCTGTGTTATGAAAGCGCAAAACTTGATTCTCATTTAAGATGTATAACGTCAATGTTTGCTGCTTCATTACATGCTTTTGCCAGGTCGTTATTTGCAGCTGACTTTTATAGATTGTTTGGTTTCTGTTATTTTGAATAAGTCTTCCAATTTTAGCATTCACAAGTTGGAGACATACAAAATTTTCTATGTAAACGACTATCCAGAACTGCTTTGGAACACTTATGAACCCTGTGAAGGTCAGCCTCAAAAAATTTTGTTGAAAACTGATTTGACTTTTTGGTAAAGGGAGCTCGTTTGAATACATTGTATTACTGCAAATTCTTCTTAATTGTTTATTCCATTCAGGTGCTGGAAGCACAAATGTTTCGCCCTCAGCTTTAGTTCTTAACCGCTTTTCTTCCGACAAAGTGCCATCTTTCCACAATACTTTTATCTCACTTTGCAATGGAAATCTCTGCCCTTCATTTGGAAATTCAAGTTTCTACTTACTCCCGACTCTTTTGGTTGCTATTGGCTTTGGTCGGATTCGTAGTGCTGCCGACCTACAGGTAGTGACTTTTAACGAGGTGTGATCAAAGAGTTTTTCGTTAGTTAATACTGATCTAAGATTTGAACTTATTTAGTTGCCCATATTTAATGTTTAGAAGTTCGCAGGAAAGAACTGGGAGAAGAAGTTTGAAGTCAGAGGGAATGACTCAGAGAGCATATGTGAAATTCTCGACAGCACCGTACTGTCAGCGTCGAGAAAGTAAATTTAATTTAAATTGGTATTTTCACATGCTATATCCTTAGTTTTGTGGACCTTTTCATAAACAAAAGTGTAGAACTTGATGATGAGATTATGCATTTAAATGTGAAGTTTTTTCTTTTTTTTCATGTTCTTAGTTCTTGCTGTGCTAGACAGTCAGAAATTATAATTGTTTTATTAAAACTAATTCACTCATCCTCTACTCTTGTGGCAAATTTTTCTCGAAAAAATGGTTACTTTGAAGGCTTTTATGCTTTTTGTAGATTCTGGTTTGTACGCCTAGTTTCGTTTGACAGACTTAAAAATTGAACAGGGTTGTTTTAAACCATTTTCGTTTTGAGTGCATTACAGATGATGAAGCTTGTTCTCTAAGTAGGCAATTCGGAATCGCCAGCTTTTCTAGTAATGATTTTAGGCAGGTAGGGATCAAACAGTGTGGAGTCGTTCCATGCTGCGCTACACACTTTTCCCGCTTAAAATTCTTTTAAGCTTTCAAGCTAATCAGTTAGCTCGGAGTCAATATGCAGAAAGTTGAAGATAGGGCCTGGAAGAACAGATGATCAATTTCCTCCCGAAGTTGCAAAATTTGCCAAGTCATTGCTTGGCATGGCTTCTTTTGGAGATTTGTAATTCATTTTAGCCATATAAGACTCTGAGGTTTTTTATTTTTTTAATCTTTAATGCCTTCTACTTTCAAATGCATCTTGAATTATTCAATTCGAATGAACAGTGAAGTTAATATAACAAGAATAGAATTTTTCAGAAAGTAAAAGTTTCAAAAAGTGTGTCTTCAAATTGTTTAAAAAAACATTTTGCGTAGAATTTCTTGCCTTCTAGCGTATCAAAAATTAGTGATGGCGGCGTCAGTCGGGGATCCTAAGCCTTGAAAGAATATCGGAGTAAAAAAAATTTATCGTTTTTTGCAGTAATCAAACGTAGGCAAAACCATCTTTGATTACTACTGAGAATGACGGGGAGAGGCCATAAAAATCTGGGATGTTTCATTCGTTGAGAGCATACTTTGCATAAAAAGTTCATTGTTTCATCAGTTTTATGTCTCATCAGGCATTATCAAAACCTTTATTTTTAATGAGTTAAACGAGCCTTTTCATTTGACCGTGACATCTAGGAAGCAAAAAAAAAAAAGCAAAT